AACAGCTTGCCTAGGATCGAGGTAAAACTAACTGGCCTATAGTTTTCCGGGTCCTCCTTCCTCCCTTTTTTGAAGATTGGAACCACATTGGCCCTCTTCCAGTCCTCCGGCACCTCTCCAGTGTACCATGAGTGCTCGTAAAGCTGTGCCAGGGGACCTGCAATGACCTCGGCTAGCTCCTTTAGAACTCTAGGGTGGAGATCATCCAGACCGGCTGACTTGAATATGTCCAGCCCCTCCAGAAGCTCCCATACTAAGTCCTTTCTAACCCTTGGCTGAGGTGTGCCTCCCCCGGGGCCTGAAGGGGGCCCGGCTGGGAGGTTGCTGTTCTGGTCCCTACTTAGGAAGATGGAGGCAAAGAAATCGTTAAACATGTTAGCTTGTTTGCATGACCTAGTTTCCCAACGCATCCTGCAAGGGCCATTGGTGCTCAGTTAATCGGTTTTGTTTTTACAAACCATTTTTCAAATAATAGGTGGATAACCTTTAGCAGAGGGAACTGTAATGTGTGGGCTAGGGTTTATAAACCATTCCTTACTCTCTTAGTGCCTGCTTATTTTTGGTGTATCCAGCTATCTGTTTCTTCCCCACCCTTTGTCTTATTGGTTCTTGTATGCTGTCCTCATAAAACAGTGGCTGCAACAGGATATGTGGCTAACACTGATGTGAAATAACTTCTTATTGCAGAGTCATCAGAGCAGCTAACTCCTGAAGAAGAGTCTGAGGAGACAGAGCCTTGGGCCAAGCCCCTTAGCCAGCTGTGGCAGAATCGACCTCCCAATTTCGAAGCAGAAAAAGAATATAATCGGACCATGGCTCAGCAGTCCCCTTACTGTGCTGTCTGCATGCTTTTCCAGACATACCAGGTAAGCTGCCGAGAGCCACTTTTTACATGAAAGAAGCTGAGCGAAGATAGCTGCCATGGTCCTGAGGTTTTTAAGCTACTTCCTGCCGTCAGACTTGCAGTGTTTCTGTCTATTGTTAAATAATCAGTCTGCAGGCCTGTGTGTTCTGGTAAACAACACCTGTGTTCAAGCTGTGTCAGTTGCCTGTAGTTAGAAGGTTGCTTCCCTCCAGTTCTGGCAGAGCTTAGACCTGTTCCTGTTTCATACACGTGGCTGCATTTGGAGCCAAGTGTAAAGCTACACTCCTCTGGCTCCATGGCAAGGGAGTGCTCTTGCTTTCAGATTCCTTCTCTTAACTAAAACTTGGAAACCCACCCAAAGTCTGCTCCTGGGTGACAGGAAAGGGAAGAGCTTCCTTCTTTTTTGGGTAGGGGAAGATGATCCACTACAACTGCGCTGAAAACCAACTTAAGTACCTGTGTATGCAGAAGTTGTCTTCTCTTAGAGTAGGACCCTGCTGCAGTAATTGTGCTTGTGTAGACTTGCATGAGTTAACTTTTAAGTTAACCAGTTTGGGTGCTACTAGTAGTGTTGCTGTGGCAGCCTAGAGCTCAGCGCAGATTGCAAACCCAGCGTGTCTGGCAGACTGAGTGCTAGGACTGGTGAGATGTATGCTGCCATCAGTACATAAGCAGCTAGTATAAAGGTTGGAGTAAAGGAGTGTGTAGAGCTGTCTAAACTGGGCAATAAATGGGGAGATTGTGTTGGAGATGGGGACTTGATGTGCACATTCTGGTCTACTCTGATTTTGGTGAGCAGAAGATAGAATAAGGGACATACTGAACTTGAAAAGTTGCTCGTCGAGATAGGTATGAAATTCCGAAGTAATGTCGGGGGGGGAAGATCTCCTATTCCTGAATAATTAGGAGGTAAATATTTTCAGTTGACTCTGACATCAGTTGATGTAATCTTTCTGTCAGTTTCTTGCTGAATATTCTTGAACATCAGGGAAGCAGAATTTTCAAATAGTTTTGAAGGGGAAGCAGGGAGAATAAGAAAACTAAGAACTTTATAAACTTTTCAGTTTTAAAATTCCTGTTGAGTAACCCCCATGCACCTCTCCTTCCTGCTGTAACAGGGACAGTACCAGGGGGCAGCGCTGGCTCATTTCTTGAAATGGTCTGCTTCCTGTTTGTGAGGTTTGTTAAAGGCTAAGTGACTGTTGGAGACTTGCCCTGGCCCTATTGTATAAAGGAGGCCTGAAAGCTTTTAAGAACATGAAGTCAGCCTTTGCTATTCTCTTTGGGTTTTGGAAGACTAAATAACTGGAGGGGAAATGCATTATATATACTTTTAAATGTAATTGGTGGTTAATTTGCCATTAGGTTAATTGAATGAACCGAGTTATAAGAAAGTATAATTCTGAAAGTCTTCTCTTCAGTGGGAAGCTACGTTTCAAGAATCTGTCTACTGCCCAGCAGCAAGTATCAATTTCTGAGGTGCATTAGCTTTGTTCCTGGTTAGTTATCAGGAAGCAATAGTGGGTATTTTTAAAGAAATGTTTGCATGTTAGTATTTTGCCTAGATACTGGAGGTTGTAGCTAACAGTGTTCCATGAGGTAATGCTGCAGTCCTTTGCAGCTATCTGTCGGAGTTGAGGCAATGCAGAGGTTTCTCACAGAAACACCTTTAGGGTAAGGAGTGGGCCTACTGATCCCACAGGTGTCAGATAAAACCTCTCTGGCTTGTGGCCTGTCACATGAGGATGTGATTCAGACCTCTTTGATCTCCCTCTAACTGGTCAGTAGCGTGGAAAAATGTGTTGCATTGAAGCTGCTGTGACTGAGAACTTGATGGGATGTTTGGTGAACAGGTTGTCTCCTAATCCAAGTGAGCTGAATCCCTGACACCCCAGGGATTTCATCATTCTGTACCTTATCTTTTGCAAGTTGAGACCTTGGTTTGGATGATGCAGGGACTTAAGTTGGTTTGGTTGTTGGCTTGCTGGTGTGCAGCAGGTACCTTCATCTGGGGTTTGCTTCTAATGAAGCAGGTGATGAGAGTAAGTGAAAGGGAGACATGAGAACTCCACTAGTTCCTGTAAAACAGCCCCATGTATCCTTCTGCCCCTCAGGCAGAATGTGGAGGCCACAGTCAAAACTCTGGAGCGACTCCAAGTGCCACTGATGGGAAAATCCGAACCAAGCCCCTGATACCTGAGATGTGCTTTACCACCACTGGCTGCAGCACGGATGTCAACCTTTCAACCCCTTACCTGGAGGAAGACGGAACCAGTCTCCTGATCACCTGCAGAAATTGCCATGTCCGTGTTCATGCCAGTGAGTAGAGCCAAGTCTCACCTGTCAGTACTGACTTTGCCTCTCATGTGCTTCATTAAGAAACTGGGGGACTGTGGTGTTGACACCCACCCAGTCAAATGGGTCGCCAACTGGCTGGAGGGCCGCACCCAGGGAGTGGTGGTGGATGGGTCCTTCTCAACCTGGAAGGACGTGGGCAGTGGGGTTCCGCAGGGCTCGGTCCTCAGGCCCGCACTGTTCAACATCTTCATCAGTGATTTGGATGAGGGGGTGCAAAGCACCCTGTTCAAGTTTGCTGATGACACTAAGATGTGGGCGGAAGTGGGCACACTAGAAGGAAGCAATAGGCTACAATCAGACCTGGACAGGTTACAAGGGTGGGCGGATAAGAATAGGATGGGATTCAACACAGACAAGTCTTCAACACCAGACGACGAAGCTAACATGTTTAATGATTTCTTTGCCTCCATCTTCCTAAGTAGGGACCAGAACAGCCACCTCCC